GATGAGCCCTCAGGGCTGATTCCGGGGCTCCAGTTCCCACTCCCTGCAGGTGGGGCAGAGTCAGCCCCACTCACAGCTCCAGGCTGCTGGACAGACTTTGTAGCATGCCCAGCAGACACCGTTCTTGGGATACTATAAAGAAAACAAAAGAAAACAGCAAAATTAAATAGGAATCTAAAAACAGTAGAAATAATTTTTTACATCACATATTTTGAAGGACACTTCAGGGGACATGGAATCCTTGTCTGACAGCACATTGCTATCAGGACCTTGACTGTCACGTGAGTTACTCTAGTGCACCTGATTCTTGTGAGAAAACAGACACTGATCACTTTATCATCTCAATTTTTTACTGGTTTGTACCGAATCACTTCAAACTTAGCAGATAAACCACAAACTTGGCAGAGTCTCTGGGGGGAGGCTGCAGGAGGGGCCTCACTCAGAGGCTCCAGGTCTGGGTCCCACAGGGCTGCACTGGGGACGAAATGTTGGCAGATGTGAATGGCTGTGATCAGCATGGAAGGACCTGCCTCAGAGCTCATGCATGTGACTCCTGGAGAAAACCTTCAGTTCCTTGTCCTGTGGGCGTCCCCTTAGCTGAGGGTCCACCGTGTGCAGGGAGTCACCCTAGAGAGGGACCAGGAGGGGCGACTGGGCGGTAAGTCCCAGCCCCTGTGAGCCTGACTCTGTGATGTGGCACATCCCTTCTGCTTCATTCTCCTCACGAGGAAGCGCCAGCAAGTCAGACACACTCACGGGGGGGAACTGTCTCCCCTCCTGTGTATCACAGAATTTGTAGATAATTGAAAACACAGATCACCATGTGGACACTAATTATTCTCATTCTACCACCTGAAAAATAAGTTGCCTCTCTCCCAAAACCCTTAAAAGTCTCTTCCATAACAGAAGCAGCGTGATGTCAGCATCTCATCATGTGACAGAACCATGCAGAGGAAGATCCGTGAGAGCATCTGTGCAGTGAAGCCATCTGTGCTCAGCTCCTTGTGGGCTGAGGTAGTTTCCTGCCCCACAAGCCTTGGATGTGGATACAATAGAGGACAGACATAGGGCAACTTGTAGACCCATTTTTATTTTATTTTATTTTTTTAAAGATTTATTTATTTATTTATTTATTTATACAAGAACTTATGCTGTAGTAGCTGCAGATAGCTTCCAGATTGAGTCTTAACCCTTGTGCCACCAGGGAGGCCCAAATTGTGATTTTAAAATACAACTGCTGATGGGAAGAAGTAAACCCCTTTCTCCAACATGCAATCCAGTAAAGTTTATGTTGACAACGTTAAGATGAGGGGTTCACAAGGAAAGCATCTTCGATAAATGGTGACGGGGACACTGGACAGCCACATGCAAAAAAAATGAAACTAGGGCCTCCATGGTGGCACAGGCGGTTGAGCGCCCACTGTGAAGCTGTCTGTAGTCTCTGCAGCAGGGGTTCAATCCCAGCCGGCTGGCAAGAATCCCACATGGAAAGCAGAACTCTCTTGTCTCATCTGCTGCTCCCCTCAGCAGTGTATTTCGTCAGTCTGCCTGTTCTGTTCCCTGCTCTGTCTCTAGACCCACTCTGAAACTAGACCACTGTCTCACACCTCACACAAAAATCAACTCAAAATGGACAATAGGCTGGGATGTAAGGCCAGAAGCCATAAAATACATGGAAGAAAACAAGGACAGAATGTGCCATGACATACATTTCAGTGATATCTTTGTGGATCTGTCCCCTGCAGCAAGGAAAACAAAAGGGGATATAAAGTAAAAGGGACAGACAGCAAATATCTACAACTGTTGGTGGGATAGGCCTGGGTGCTGCTGCCTGTCACACCACAAAGCCATAAGCAGAGCCAGGAATTGGATCTATAAGCACTTTCACTTCTTAGATCACTGAACAATGATCTGCAAGAATAGGGGGCATCGCACACTGAAGGGCCTGTTCCCCATTTTCATCTCCATCTGGGTTTGCTGTAATCAGTTACAAACAGTCACAGCAAACATGCAAGAATAGCCCATCACATTTGCTGCTCCTGGTAGCCATCAAAGTTCAGCCCCCAGAACTTGTTATCAGCCCCTGGCCTCACCCACACACTACACCGCCACAGTCAGTTTGCATGAATTCAACAGGAACAGAAATTATTATGCAAACCTTTTAATTTTGCTTTGTTTGAATTTCATATAAGAACCCTCAGACTGAGAGCTCCTAAAAGACAGAAGTCAGGGCTCAGGACCATGCCAAGGTCTCACCATCAGACTTGGCCTATGGTACCTGTATCTTCAGAGAAAATCCTCTCAAGGCTCCCAAGACATCTGGGGTTTCTGGATCTACCAAGGGGTTTCCTTCTTTACCCTCATGACAGACCCTTGTAGTCCCAAAACAGGTGCCAAGTTATTGTTTCTTTACTGGCTTTGAGGTCAGTCTGGTTTCTGAAAACACAACATTCCAGACAAAGCCTTGGTACTCTGAAGGCTGCCTGCCCCCTATCAGGAAAGCCCCCACTGCCACCACCTCTAGAGCTGTGCCCACCAGCTCCCACCTGCACACGCAGGTGCCAGGGCAGGAAACCACCACTGCTGCTGCCAGTCCTTTCAGACTCCTGCTCCCACTGGCCTCTGGTTGTGCCCACTGGGGCAGCCGCACCAACAAAGCCTGCATGTCCCACCACTCAGGGGGCAGGAAAGAGCTGGGCAAGCCACAGGGATCTATAGTCAGTGTCACACACTATACTATTATATACAAACATACACATTCACATGTATCTATTAATACATTTGGTAAATTTTACTTGAAAAATTTGTGTTGTAAATTTGTATCAAATAAGTGAGAAATCCATCCAGGGACAGTGACAGATTTTCTTTATGCTGAACCACTTCCTCATGTCCACCTGGATATGACTCCCAGGAGAAAAAGAAAAGCAGACGCCCCAGCACATGTCTTGTCTTTTCCCCCTAGGTCCTCACAGCTCCCTGTTCACTGACATCAGGGGCCCCAATCTGGCTGAGCCCCAGGATGCATGTGGGTTTGTTACAAATACTCAGGTCTATCCCAGACCCAGCAGCTCAGATTGATGAGCAGGGACCCAGGAATCACTTCCTCAACATGCTCTGTAGGTGAGGCTGACTCACAGCCAGGAATCTGGTCTCGTTCTTCTGCTAAAAGTGTGATCAGCACAAATGTGGTTATAAACACAGACTCTCAGACTCTGTTCTAGACCTTCTGAGGTTTTTTTTTAATTAATTTATTTATTTATACAAGCATTGGGTACAGTCAAAGTGTGGGAGGGTGAGAGAATTCACAAAAGCCAGAAGCAGAACAGGCAGACTGACGAAGTACACTGCTGAGGGGAGCAGCGGGCGGCAGCAGAGGTCTGAGTGCTATGTGGGATCCTCGCCCGGCGGCCGGGATCAAACCGGTGCTGCAGAGGCCCAGCGCTCAACCGCTGCGCCACCAGGGAGGCCCACCTTCTGAGTCTTCATGAGTGTCCTGGTGACTCCTGGTGGCTCCCTGCTCTCTGTGCCTTCTCCGCATGGTGTCAGAATATGCAGTTGGCTCTGGGGGGTGGCCTTAACACAGGGGGTTTCAGGGTTCAGTCCAACTCCTTTCTTTTCCTTAGTCATCAGTCCCTGGGAGACCCATTATGCTCAACTTCAAATATCATGTACATCACATCACCTCCCAGATCTATTTCTCAGTGCACATATTGCACCTGTGCTCCTGGCTTGTCTGTCTGCTGCAGACAGACCATGAGAAGTTCTCATCTCTTAACAAAGACTCAGAGTCTAAATGAATTTGCAGCAGTCGGGAGCGACCACGGCGGGGGCCTGCAAACAGGCTCCTCATTCCGCCTTCGGGGGTGCCTGTCTGGAAGGAGCGGGTTTCTGCTGTGTCTGTAGTGATGTGCTCAGTGGTGCTGCTCACCTGTGGCCCAAGGGGTTAAGTCTCAGCACTATGAAGCTACTGGCTGCCACTGAGGCCTCAGTTCAATCCCTGGCCAGGGAGCTGACCCACATGGTGCAGCAGACCTCTCCTGTCTTGCTTGCTGCTCGCTTCAGCAGTGTATTTCAGTTAATCCACCTGTTCTGCTCCCCGTTCTCTTTCTGATGAATCTTCTCACCCCCCACACCTCTGGTGAATCTTCTCACCCCCAGCACCTCTGGCCTACTCCCCAGCTGTTGTATGCATAAATAAAATAAATCTTTTTTTAAAATAAGAAAATAGCATGCAATTGTGTTTATGCTTATACAGATTAATAAGTTACTGCTGGAACAAGCTTTCCTGGTTAGTAGGGAACATGCCCACAAGCCGGTATGTCCTCAGAGAACAGGAATCAGTTCTGGGAAATTCTGTTTGCAGCACTTCTAACCTCCTGGAACTCCATGTGCACAGTGAACAGGTGCTCTCAGAGAGCTCTGGATCCCTTTAGGACAGCAGGCTGCCAACATCTGTCCAACTGCCACCATCACTGCATTTCCAATAACTCCCAGCTTCAACTCTCCCAATGAACACCTCGGATGCCATTTCCACAAATGCGCTACTTCTGAAGCCTACCCCTGTCACACACCCCCTCCACATCTCTACTTCACAGTCTGAAATGTTGGGTGGCATCCTGACCCCTCTTTCTCACAACCCAGATGTTACATTAGGAAATGCTGTAAAGTCCATCTCTAAATATATCTTGGTCCAAACACTTCCTATTATTTTCCTGATCACACCCCATAAAGCTACTAAATTTTCCATCCTAGAATCTATTCTAGTTTCCTACATTAATCACCTTCACCTCTTGATTCTGCACAGCAGCCAGACTGAGGCTTCTAAAGGTATTGCACCATGTCACCCTCTGTCCAGAAAGGTCTGTTAATCCCACAAGAGAGCTGAGTGTCTCAGACCTCAGAGTGCGCGCAGCTGGGGGTGGGGAGTGGGGTGTGGCTTGCGCTGAGACCGCAGCCCAGAGAGGCCAACCAGATGCCCCTGCACTGGATGGCAGAGGCCGCCCAGACTGAGTGGTGGTTCCCCTGCAGGGAGCGGGGCTGTGGGGAGCAGTCGGGAGCAACCATGGCGGGGGCCTGCAAACGGGCTCCTCATTCCGCCTTCGGGGGTGCCCTGTCTGGAAGGAGCGGGTTTCTGCCGTTCACCTGTGTGGGTCACGGCTGCAGGGGTTCCGTGGCCAAGAGAAACCAGGTGGGGACTGTCCAGACACAGCAAGTGGCGGGGTGGAAGGAGGGGTAAAGGAAGATTGCTTCCTTTTGGGGTTTGCGCCAAACGACTTGTGGCAAACCTGCATTTGGGAAAACTGGGGGCCTTTGGGAGTGTGGGCTTTGCGTCCGGCTGCCTGAGGGTGAGCACCCAGGGGAAGGGGTGGGCGTGCTTACGCGGCACACCTGACCTGGGGGGCTGAGCAAATAAAGGCTGCGGTAGAGAGCAAGGAGTGAAGAGGAACAACCAGAGCATCGCCGCTGGAAATAAGGTACCGGGAAGCGCGTAGGGAGTCCAGGAGGGTATTGAGGGTCCAGGGGGTTTCTGGCGAGGGTAAGGGGTGTTCTTTCATAATGTTCTTTGATGGAATGAGTGTGGAAATTATTGCCTTGGGGTCAGAATGGGTGAGTCTCCTAAGTTTCATAATCCTCTCTGCCCCCACCTCTGGCTGATCATCTTTTCTGACCCCACCTTAGATTGCTGGAACCTTCCATAATTGGGGTAATAAAGATTTATAAATTGTCCTTATGATACCTCCCTCAGTTAAAAAAAACAATCAAGGTGACCTTGACATTAACTGATATGAGACTGCTCTGCCCACCCCTGCTTTACTATCAGGAAGGCCATATGTACACCCTTAGAAATTTTTCTGTAACTGCAACAGAATTTTTAAGGCTTTCTTTACAAAAATTCTGTAGTTACTTCTCACTTGCCAAGGAGCAGGGGGTAATTGCACCAATGATTGCACTAATTTTTAAATTTGCTTTGGTTGACTGATTCTGAAACTGAAAGGGAGTTGTGTACATTGTAGAATATTTGAACATTAGAATAAAATAAAATGAGGAACAGTGAACTGTGATTTTTTCCTCAAAAGATAAATACTTTTAGGGTCTACCTAGTGGTGCAGGAGTTAAAGTCTCAACGTTGTCAAGCTATTGCCAGCCACTGTGGCCTGAGTTTGATCCCCAGGCAGGGAGCTGACCCACATGGTGCAGCGGACCTCTCCTGTTTACCCACTGCTCCCCTCAGCAGTGGGTTTCAGTAGAGCCACCTGTTCTGCTCCCCACTCTGTCTCTGGTGAATCCTCTCACCTCCTGCACCTTTGCCCTAGACCCCAGTTCTTGTCTGCATAAAAATAAATACATCTTTTTAAAATAGATAATTTTAAGAATTAGCTTACTTTCTTCCTCATAATTTCCAGTATATTTGGAACTGTGAACTATAACACCCATGTGTAAGGGCAGAGACTATACAGGTGAAAAATTAGAATTAAAAAATGAACTCCCATAAACTGGGTGAAGAATCCTAAGACCACACTATATCATAATCTTCCTCCCCAAGTAAGCAGGAATATGTGGCTGTCATTATAATTATTTCCCTTGCTCTTCATGACAGTTCATCACCTAAGGGGATATCACTAAATGCATACATAACACATGATTTCCATTTTGTCTGGTATTTAAAATTTAAATCAATCCTATTATGTTCATTTTATATCTGGAATAATGCTATGCCTACAATCTTCTATCTTTCCTCCTTCATTTAACATCATAACACAAGTATTTTCCAAGTCATTTAAAACTATTCAGAATGATTATGCCTAATTGCTACATTTGTTTCACGTACATAGTGTACTATATTTCACTGTTTCCTGAAGTTTTGACTTAGATTGTTGCTAGTATTTGTAAGTATGAGAAAATGCTGGTTAGTATTTTTACAAATAAAGGGGTGTGTGTGTGTGTGCATGTGTGTGTGTCAAAGCGTTTCCTTAGGTCATGTCTCAAAAATTGAATTACTATTTCTTTTAATACAGACACACACACACACATATATAACATCCCAAATGCTAACAGCTGAATTCAGAAGGGCGGTACCAACTTGTTCTCTTTCCCAATGAGCGAGAATCCTTATTTCAGCAGGTTTTTGACCCCACGTCATTCTATCTCCCCATCTTCAGGGCTCTGACGTCACATAGTATACCATCTCCGTCCCCTTCTGGGCCGCCGGCGCCTCTGCCCACCAGTATCCAGCCCGGGCCGCGCAGGCCACTGCTCCGTCCCTAAAAAATAAATAAATAAATAAATAAATAAATAGTCCCACATCTGGATTGAATCATGGTAGTATGGATACTTTTTAGAAATTCCAGTTTTTTATTGATTAGTAACAAGGGTTAGTTTTCAAGTTTGGTTTAATGTGGCCCTTCATTTGCTTTCTCTACATCCATTTATAATTATTTCTCTTTTTCCTTTTGACTTATCCCTCTTCCATCCATGTTGCCACAGTGGCATGAGTTATGTTTTTGATGGTGGATGCTATTTCATTATACAGGGACATATATCACCCATACATGTACATATATGAATACGTGTAATCCCAGTTTCTACATGATGTGTCACCTGCTTGAGGCATTTAGGTGGTGTCCATAGCTTGGCTACTGTAAATAGCTGCAGTGGTGATGGGAGTGCAGGTCCTTCACAGGAGAGTATTTATCCTCTGTGAGTAGAGCCTCAGTGTAGCATTGCTGAGTCCAATGGCACAACCACATTTGATTTTTTAGAAATCAAAAAGGGCTGGCTTGGTCTATATGCAAAAACAATGTAGGACTGTCCCCTTTTTTCCATATCCTTGCCAGCACTGGCTGTTTCTGGTCTTTTTGACATGGGCCATTCTCGCAGGTCTGGAGTAGTTTAAACCAGGGGATTATAAAGCCACAAAATGTGGGCAAAAATACATCCTGTAACACCCAGGCCAACAAGGCTGTCTCTCACCATGAAAGAAAATAATCACGATGAAATTCAGGTGAATTACCTGAGTGTTAGCACTATCAACGGTCCACTGCATTCTCAAGATGCCCTTCTGAAAGCATCCCCATCACTTAGTGCCTGCCTCTCTGCCTCAACCCCCAGCCCCTTCTGAAGTCCTCCAGGGTCTCACCTTTAGGGGCTGAGATACACTTCAGAGCCCCGGGCACTGCTGCTGCCCAGGGGAGAACACAACAAACTTAGTCAGAGATAAGACCACAGGAGGGACTGATGAGGGTGACTCCCCATGGGCTCCATCTACACTGTCCCCAGGGGCTCAGGCATCAAACTCCTGATCCACACTTACCTGGAGCCTGAGTGTAGCTTCCTCCTTTTCCATCTGTGAGAAAAGACATCACGTGAGACCAGGTAGCAGTCAGGTCAGAAGTTCTAAATGAATCTTCTAATCCTGCAGAACAGGGAAGTTTCCAGAACTGTGACTAAAGACCCAGGTCAGGCCTGGGAAAAAATAAAGGAGGTGAGGGGGGACTGGACCAAATGCCCCCCTGGTAAACACATGTGTGTGGATGGTATTTCCCATTAACCAGGTAGGGCAAGTTCCCCCTGACTTGCAAGCCCCGGTGGACAAGATCCCCTACTCCCTTCCCTACCTGAGTGCTTCTTCCTCCACATCTCAGATGCAGCCACTACAGCTCCAATGAGCACAGCAACAAGGAGAACCAGGCCAGCAATGATGACAATGGTGGGGATGGAGAACTGAGGAGGGGGCACTGGAAGGGAAGGTGAGACCCTGAACCCCAGGCCTCATCTTGACCCTCTGAAGTTCTCCAGAAGGGCTCCTGATACCCCTGAGCAGAGTCTTTGTGCTCACAACGCTCCTCCTTACCCCATATCAGGACTCGGGGCTCCAGCAGCCCCTCATGCTGCACACGGCACATGTATCTCTGCTCCTCTCCAGAAGGCACCACCATAGCTGCCCACTTCTGGAAGGTTCCATCCCCCCCAGGCCTGGTGTCCACCAGCTCCACGTCCTGGTTCAGGTCCTCCCCATCTCGCTGCCAAGTCAGGGTGATATTGGCAGGGTAGAAGCCCAGGGCCCAGCACCTCAAGGTGACCTTCTGGTCAGAGGTGGGGTGGTGGGTCAAGTGTGTCTTTGGGGGATCTGAGGAGAAGGACAAAAAATTCACACTTTGGGTTTTTCCTTCCTGGACACTGAAGCAGCCTCACTGACCATCCTCAGAATGGACATGACAATTGGTTTGGAGGCAGGAAGCACAAAGCCCAGAAACCAGCCTAGTCTGGGGAATCTGGGATAATCAGGTGAGAGCCCAGGGTAGGAGGATGCAGGTCTCTAAGGAGAACACAGACTTTTGCTCCTGACCTGGGTGGAGGGTGAATGACACAGAAAGGCAGGAGTCAGATCCAGAAATGTTCTCAGACTGAAAACAAGAACTTGAAAGAGAAACTCAGGGTTCCCAGGATGGCTGTTGGGTCAAAAGCATCCAGGGAAGAGTTTTTCAGGATGGCCTCCCTCCCTCAGGAGAGACTGTCAAGAAAAGTGGTGTCTTCTGGGCAAGTCTGTCTCTAGCACAGAACATGAAACCCAGGGGGACTCTCCCTCTCTGCCCAGAAAGCAGGTGCTGTTCTGCCCAATATTCCATGTTCCCTGTGGGGCGCCAGGAGAGGGGAGGTCCGAGGCCTTGTGGCCCCTCTTACCTGTGCGCTGCAGCACCTCCTTCCCCAAAATCAGGAATCTGAGGAGCCAAGGGAAGCACCTATTGTGCAGACTGTTCCTGACAGGCTCGGCCCTCTCCTGCACCTCCCACTTGCGCTGGGTGATCTGAGCCACCGAGTCCGCGGGGGTCCAGGAGTTCAGGTCCTCGCTCAGGGAGATGAAATCTGCGCCTTCATAGGCGAACTTTTCATACCCGCCGAGGAGCCTCAGGTGTGGGCCCACTTCACAGCCAAACATCGTCTGGAGGGTGTGAGAACCTGAGACCCATCCCTCTGGTCAGCCCTGAGGTCACCCCACAGTCACCCCGCCCTCCCACCCTGAATAAACCAAAAATTGAAAATGAAGGGCTGGCAGGAAAGTCTCACAGGCTCTTCCCGGGGGAGGGTCCTGGCAGACCCACCAGCCTTGAGGGGTCAGTGGATCCTGAGACTCGGGACACCCCGGCCTTAGGGTGGGAATGGGGGGTGACCTGACCCTGGCCCCGCTCCGCGAAGCTCACCGTCCTTGCTCTGCTTGTAGTGGCCGCGCAGGTCCCTCAGGAGCATTTTGAACCACTGAGCCTTGTCCCTTTGGATCTGAGTCTCCTCGTCCAGGTCCTCCTGCCCCTCCTGCTCCATCCAGGGCGCCCGCGGCTCTGCCCTCTGACCCGGGGAGTCGCTGTCGAACAGCAGGAACTGCGTGTCGTCCACGTAGCCCACAGCGATGAAGCGGGGCTCCCCGGGGCCGGGCCGGGCCATCGCGGTGGAGAAATACCTCAGGGAGTGGGAGCCTGGGGGCGGGAGGGAGACCCGGGCTGGGGAGACGGGGCGGGAGGGGAGGGGGCGAGGGGGCTCCTGAGATTGTTAAGGGGCGGCGGGACGAGAAGGGCCAGGAATCCGGGGCCTGAGGAGGCGGGGGCGGGGAGGGGCAGAAAGGGGCAAGGGCGGGGTTGAGGGGGACACCAGGGCAGGCTACAGCGGAAACGAGCCTCTACCGGGTCCAGCGCCGCCGCTGCCCCCCACCCACGGGGCCCCCCGGGCTCCTCAGCGCGGGTTCCCTCCCGACCCGCACTCACCTGCCCAGATCTCCCCCGGGGCCAGGGCCCCCAAGAGCAGCAGCAGGAGGGGCGGGGGGCCCATGGCCCTCACCTACCCGGCTACAGAAGCTGGGTGTCGGAGCAGGCCAGTGTAGACTTTGTAACAGGAGCTGCGGGGATGCTGATTGGCTGCTCTGGAAACCCTCCAGGCAATGGGGAGAACTGGGGGTGAGTCACGAGTCCAGGCTTGAGGACCCCACTCAGGTGAGAGGGAGGCGTGGAACTGCAGGGAGCTGGGGAATCCTCAACAGTAACCTTCATGCCTGAGACACCGCCCTTGAGTCCAAGACCTGAGAGCCACACCTGGGACCTGGGACTTTGCCCTGCACCCTCCCCTCTGCACCCAGACCACTGTCCTGGTCCTGGGACTGCCTCACCCATTCTCAAACATTTTCCTTTTAGTATTACAAATTCCCAAGGACCCCCAAGTATAATTTTATGCAGATAAAACTATCATTCTTCACCATACAAGGAATAAAATCATTTAAACATCTTTTTATTTCATATTAATACATTATTAATAATCCATTGCATGTTAACTATTTTAAAGACAAATAACTTTCTGAAAATCATCATGGTAGTGAGAAGTGGATCTTTTACAGTTATGGTTTTACAAGTGTCTTCTTTGTCTCATTAGAAGTTGGATTGTCATATTTTCTTTTGCATTTAGTCTTTTGTTTTGGTTGATCAATGCAAAAATATACAGCCTGAAAGAAATATGTAGGAATAACATTTTATAATCTTTTAAGATAATTGTGGGTATTCAACTTTGTTACAACTTTGATAATAAACTGATACTGTACGAGAAGTAGTGTTCCACATGTTATTTGCAAAGAGAAACCTGATATACTATCACTGAATATTTTCTATTCTATTACATTAATTCTGTGGATCTCTCTTGCATATTAATGGCTCTTAACTAATATGATTTTTAAAAGTAATGCATTATTTTACTAGGCTATATGATCACTTTATTACTGCAGAATCAAATTTTAAAAATCAAATATTTTATATTCCAAAGATCCCAAAGGAAAAAATAGTTGGTACAGGAAGTGGTCAAGCTTATAGTGATGGGACACAATTTTCGAATACCTGGTTTTCCCTTGGGTTTGCATTTCATCAAGGCAATTAATTACTATCAATTGTCAACTGTCAGTAGATTTTCTTTTTTTAAAGATTTATTTATGCAGACAAGTACTGGGGACCAGGCCAGAGGTATGGGGGGTATGTGTGAGAGGACTCCCCAGAGACAGAGTGGGGAGCAGAACAGGTAGATTGACCGAAATACACTGCTGAGGGCAGCAGCAGGCAAGACAGGAGAGTTCTGCTGCTCCATGTGGATCACCTCCCTGGCTGGGGATCAATCTCTGGCTGCAGTAGTTGCAGACAGCTTCATAGTGTTGATGCTTAACACCTTGTGCCACCAGAGAGGCCCCTGTCAGTGGGAGACAGATTCACATTCAATTTGTAGAAAGTGCCTACAAATTAACTAAATCTATATAATGTTTTGTCATTTGCTCCTTCAAATAAAGATGTTATTGCCTAGTACTTTAGGTTGTAGCAGAAGGGATTTATATGTACAGAGCTTACTTTTTTTCTCTCAGGCAAATTCTTTCTCTCAGGCTTGAGGAGATGCTCCCTGCTTTCCTGAGCCTCCCTGTCCAGGGCCCCTGTAGGGGCAGGATGGGCACAGAGCAGGTTCTCTATGATTGGAGCAGATGGGGTAAGGAGGAGTCCTGGAGCCCTTGGTGGCTTTTGAAGACTTTTATTGGGATTTACCAGGTACACAGCAGGCAGGGGTGCCAGGAGGCTGGCAGGCCTCCTAGCCCCCGGCAAATTCACTCTTTATGGGCTCTCTGTTGTCTCTCATGGCTTTTGCTTCTCTGCTCCTTTCACTCTGCTCTTCCCTGTGACACCGCCCTTTTGAGCCCAGTCTCTGAGCCCAGGTGTACCCACCCACACATGCCCACACCCTACTCCAGGTACCCACCATCAGGCATGCATTCAGGACCGCAGGGATTCATCATCAATCCTAATGGTGGGAGGGCAGAAAAGTTTGACACTTTTTCACTTACCCTACAATCCACCCTTCAGGGTTTTCTGCCAGACAGTCTATACAAATTATGTACACGTTTCTCTTGGCGACTATGAACACTGCAGCCATGGCCCATAAAATTAATAGTATACATCACAATATAACAAAAAATATAACAGAACACAAATAAGTCAAGGCAGGGCACCAACCTAATAGCAAAAGACAAGATTATTTGCACCAGCAGTTGCTCTACCACTTCTGTTGCCAAAGGCACTGCTCATACAAGGGAGAGGAACCACTCAGTCATCTGCTGTCACACGCCAGGAACCATCAGGCTTCCTGGCCTTCTCCGGCTGTGGTCTCGCTCATCTACCCTTAGGATGCTGTAGGGTCAGGACTGGACACGGTGCATGTTTTCTGATAGCCAGCAGACTGGGTAAAGGAGGAGTCAGAGTCCTCAGTGGTTTTGCAGGTTTTTATTGGGATTACCAGGTACACGGCAGGCAGGGGTGCTGCCAGCTGGTAGGCTGGCAGGCCTCCCAGCCCCCAGCAGGTCTTCACTCTGGGCTCTCCGGCCTTCTCTCGGCTTCTGCTTCTCTTGCTTCTCTCTCAGCTTCTCTTTAGGCTTCAGCTGACGTTCCATGATGCCACCCTTAAAAGCCCAGTCTCAGCCCAGGTGAATCCCATCTACCTATGCCCACACCCTATTCCAGATGCCCACCATCAGGCATGCATTCAGGACCGCAAGGATCCATCATCTATCCTGATGGCGGGAGGGCAGAAAAGCCTGACATTTTTCCTTACCCTACAGATGCTCTCACTCTTAGATTGGTGATTCTGTACTCTTTGGGGGTAATCGCCCAATCCTCAGGTTTTCTGTCTGCGGTCACTCCAACACTCGGCTTTCATAGCCACTAATGCGACACGCAGACCCCTGCACTCAGGCCAACCCACTGCACATGCATATGGGTTGGGGATCTGTGGATACAAGCTCCACATATGGCCTCTCTTGGGTCCGCTCTTTGGCTGTGGGCTCTACCACAAGCCACGTTCCCCACCTGTCCCCCAAGGAGGGGTTCCTCAGCTCCTCACCTTCACTCAACGAAAAACAGGGCATCACCCACAGGTGATTGTAAGAGACTCACTAGCCTTCTTTAACATATTTGGGCTGCTCAACAGCCACTCATGGCTTCCCAATCTCAGCACCAGCTTTTGCCTTTCTAAGTTGGCTTTACTCTGCCTGGCTGCAGAGAACTTGCTGAGGGCTTCCTCTTTCAGCCAACTGTGGGCTCTTTTACCAAGGCCCACCGGCCATGCCTTGATTTTCATCTCCTGGGGTTTACAAATGATACCAGCACTCCCAGGGTCCCCAAAGTCATAACATCAACTTGCCAAGGTTCCTCCGCCTTCTGGCGGGATTGTCAGTCCAAGTCCATTAGTCCAAGTCCATCCATTTTTTCCTTGCCTTAACACTGGTGAGCTCCAAATTGTGGTCCTTTCTTCCCTGACAATTTTGCTGCCTCAGGGTTTGTTGGCTGGTTCTCTTGCTGTCTCCTCATCCAGGCGAGGTCTCAGTCCCACTACTCCCGGACCTTGTCCACTTCCTGTGTTCCCACGACATCTCCAGTGTTGTCACAGGCTCAGTCTGCTACTCTCCAGTCCCTCCTGAGGTCTTCTGAGGGCTCCACACACATCTGCATTGAATCATCTTGCCGACTTACGCCAATTATAGTGACAGGAAGAGCCCAGAGGAGGTTCTCTATGATTCTATGCAAACCAGTGAAGGAGGAGCGAGTCCTGGAGCCCTCAGTGGCTTTTTTAGGCTTTTATTGGGATTTGCCAGGTACACAGCAGGCAAGGGTGCCGTGTACACAGTAAATCCAAATAAAAGTCTGCAAAAGTCACCGAGGGCTTCAGGACTCCCTCCTTCACCCATCCACAAGGATCATCGAAACCTGCTCAGTGTCCCCTCCTGCTGCTATACCCACAGAGCCCAGGAAGAGTGAAGATTCACCAGGGGCCAGGAAGCCTGCCAGCCTCCTGGCCGCTGGGCACCCCTGCTTGCCATGTACATGGTAAACTCAATAAAAACCTGAAAAAGCTACCAAGGGCTCCAGGACTCTCTCCTTTACCCCGTCAGCTGGGGTCATAGACAATCTGCTCCGTCCCTTCCTGTCCTACAGGAGGTTGACAATGACTGGTCATCACCAAACTTGTGGCCACATTTTAGTCAACACTTTGCTGTTTCTCATTGTTAACAACAGCTGACAATGTTTTTACTCTCTACTGGTCTGAAAATGCTTTCCTCCTCTGGCTCCAGAGAGCTATTATTGTTGGAGTTTATAGGGTTAAAATCTCTGTCACTTTGGCACCTGGTAGACAGGGCTAAGAACTTTTAAACAGACTTGGGAGCTGAAGGGTTACCATGGGAACCAAACTGTGAAAACCCTTGGCCAACACAGAACCACTTGATGATTGCTATACAGGGCCATAAAGCCCAAGTGGCCACTGGAGACAAATCTAAAGCAAATAAGAGCTAATTAGGGCGTGACACTCTAGCAGACAGCAGCTAGCTCAGGCCTGTGTCTTAAATCTTAGAGCGAGCCTACAGACTCAGAGCATAAAAAAGAACCAAACTTTTTTTTCAGTGGCCTAAGGAAATATTTCTCCTCTCACCCCAATTGTCCGCAGTTATTCAATAAATGCACCTTTTCAGCTTTCCATGCTGTCTCTGATGAATTCTTTCACCCCCATGACCCTGGTGTCTCTTCACTGTCCTGTGCTCCTCACCCATGGGAATTATATTTTTTGTTCAAATGATGGGACATTTTTGTAGTAGAAATTAAATTACAAGATGTTAAAAAAAATGCAAACACTGCACTGAGCTAATCAACATAATGTTACTATGTTGGGAGAACAAGGTTGTGTGAAAGAGGAGTCAATTCACTAAAGATGAGACACAAAACTCAACAGAGTCCTGGTAGATGGTATTTGGAGGCAGAAAAGTAACAAGCAGAAAATCAGCTAAAAGAA